CTTTGTAGATAGGGGTAATTAGCCCTAATTTTAGGTCACTTGGAACATTTCCTTCTGTCAATGATGTTTTCCAGAGAAAAGTCAGAGGGGCCTTTAGTGCACCGACACATTTTTTTAGTAATACTGCAGGGACCCCATCTGGCCAGGGAGTCGAATACGTAGATAATTCTTGGATCCTCCTCTCTAGATCCGGTGTTTCAAACTCAATGTTCATCAGCTCCCGCTCCCCTGGAAGTTCTTGAATGACTCCAATTTCGTTCTCCTGTCTTCTCCTGTCGTTCTCCAATTTCGTTCTCCTGTCTTCTCCTGTCGTTCTCCAATTTCGTTCTCCCGTTTTTGCATCCACGTTCGTTTTTGCTTCCAAATGTTGCAAATTTGTGACAGATCTCAGGATGAGAATAGTTACAGTTAATTTCTTTATTCTCCCAATCGCACTTGCCCTGAAGATATCTCCAGCAAAAGCGTTTCTTAATAATTAAATGCTTCTTGTTCGAGACATTTAAAGAGGAGGGGGGAGGGGTAACGCTGCGGTCAAGAGTTGAGGTAGGCGGGGTAGGTCGGGCAGCAGTGGGGGATGCGGGGGAGGGAGTAGAGGGAGTGAAAGGAGTTGAGGGAGTGAGGGGAGTTGAGGGTAACAGCGTCGTCGTCGAATAGAGGCCCATTCATGGTAGGCCTTGTTCTCCCGAACGCTTGTACTGCTAGCACAATCTCTGCGCTTTCTTTCGCCCACATCTCGCTCATAAAGCATTTTCTACACATGAATGATGTTCTCGTTTTTAAATATCTTGCAAGTTGATATTCTGGAAGTAGTGAACATTGGCAAAATTATCTGCATGTTGTTGCCGGCGCATTTGCGGGTGAGGTCAACCCTACGTGACCTACTTCTGTCTCTCAGGCAACTAACTTTAGTAAACTATTAGCGCAGAGGCCATGAATAAATAACACGGAAAGATAGATGTGTATTGGTGATCAGACTTACAAAATAAGTAAAATAACTGAACTATACACACAACAACTAGACATTGACACATAAACAAACTTGTATTGAACAAAATAGTGAATTGGATATAGGTAACTGCTAAATAAACATTAATAATTCAAGAAATCCGACTAGCCAATCCTATTCTGCACAATCGGTCCAACAACTTACTTTAGCCAGCGACGCCGAACATGACAAGACCGATTGTTTACTAAAGGTCCTAGAAGTCGGTTTCCTTTACCCTAAAATGATACATGATAACTATTACCCTAAATTACAAAAATATTGATACAAGATATTATGAATAAATAATGAATGAGCGGATTTATTTTGCGATAAAACTCAATAAGTAACCCGGTTACAATGTGTTACATCTTAGTGCCAATTGTCCAAAAATTACATTTGTTGCATTCCAGACATTCTCCGTTAGGTTTACTAACACAGACTTTCGCTGCCATGATTACTCAATCAATTGATACTCGCACTAACTTTTTTCTGACTTTACTTAATTCCAGACTATTCACTGGAACACTTCAGTATAGTATGAGTCAACGGAGTTAAATCGTACTCATTTTTTTTTCAATAAATCGTTACCCGCACTCAGTTTTTACTGACTGTGCTCAGTTTTTTTCAATCAATTGTTACGCGCACTCAATTTTTACTAACTTTACTTAATTCCAGACTATTCACTGGAACACTGCAGTACAGAATGCAGTAACAGAGTTAAACCAGCAAAATTAAGTGTAACCGGGACCGCGCACGACACCAACGTCCGTTCGCCACGCAGCCACAAGCAAACTCCCTCAAACTCCCACAAGCGCGATAAAAATTTATGCCAAAGAAACGTCAATAAAATCGCAGAAACTTTTCGGTACATCGGCCATGATTTGACTATTTGGATTCTCGAAAAAAATGTCCACCCATTTTCTGTGGAACTGCACTGAAGTTCAATGCCCGTGTAATGTTAATTAAACGCTACTGGTCGCATATCAAATATACCGTCCATGCCGTCTTGCTCGTGCAGATGCAAGTTCTGGCGTGTGAAATGCGTATAATGACGTGTGAAATGCGTTCAAAGGGGTGTGGGATGCGTATAGTGACGTATGGGATGCATATAAAGTGGTGTAAAATGAGTAAAATAACGTGTGAAGTGCGTATAATGACGTGTGAAATGCGTATAATGACGTGTTGGATGCGTGTATTGACGTGTAGGATGCGTATAAAGGGATGTGAAATGCGTTAATGGCGCTTGATATGCATATAATTATTTTATTATATAATTATAATGACGCGTAGCACGCGTATAGTGAAACAGTCATCACGCGATCATATATTCGCCAGAATATGCTATTGACGCGTGATACATTAACAACTTATCATTCGTGCTTTAATTCATTTAAGCTTCACATTTCATTCGTTTATATATTTGCGTTAAAGTTATCAAAATATTAGCGTTACAGTTGTCAAGATATTTGCGTTAAATTTGTCAGATTTTTGCGTTAAAGTTGTCAGAATATTAGCGTTACAGTTGTCAAGATATTTGCGTTAAGTTTGTCAGATTATTTGCGTTAAAGTTGTCAGAATATTAGCGTTACAGTTGTCAAGAGATTTGCGTTAAGTTTGTCAGATTATTTGCGTTAAAATTGTGAGAATATTAGCGTCACAGTTGTCATAATATCTGAGTTATAGGTGTCAGAATATTTGCGTTACAGTTGTCAGAATATTAGCATCACACTAGTCATCATTGTCGAAATGTTAGCGTCACTGTTTCCCGAATATTTGCGTCATTATCATCAATATATTTGCATAACTATCGTCAGAATATTAGCAATATTCGGAATAGGAGCATCACTAATATCACAATATTAGTGATGCCACTTTTGTCAAAATATTAACGTCACTATTGTCGGTATATTAACTTTACTATTGGGATATTAACGTCTCTATTGTCGAGATATTAGCGTCAGTCCTGACCGAGTATTAGCGTCCTATTAAAGAATATTTTTGTTTGAATATGCGATAGACTGCAGCAGATCTGAAACAAATTCTGATTGGAATCTTTTCAGTGGTTCAAATTCGATCAAGTAGCAGAGTATGATTATTGCTTAGAATTTTTTTTTGGATATGACAGCAAGGAAATTAAAAGTTAATAATGATAAGGTTAAATGTTTATTTTTCTTTATTTCTCGACATGCTCTAATGCTTTACTCGCTTCTTGTTACAAATCATCATTCGAGCCATATTGAAATTGAAATAAATATTACTCTGGGTTATTAATCATATATTATTGTTCAGATTTACTTCAATGTTAAGCCGTTATTAGACTCGTTTAAAGGTTATATTTGTGAGATAAATAATGCGAATCAGCCATTAACAATCTATCCAATTAATTACCATCTCCTTAATGCCATTCACTTTCTATATGGTCAAAATGTAAACGAAAGTTGCAACCAATTTTCAAAATTTTATCACCACTCTAGAGTCGCCAGTTTATGACAGCTTTCTGATATTTAATGATCCGATGGCGTAAAAAACAAAGGAATAAATAATGATCTGCCTGGAAACTATAGACCGCTTGATGAGTTGGGAAAAAAGTTTTTAATGGGAATAACTTTTTTAAAATTATATTGACCAATATTTTGGGCATGTTTTCCAACTAAAACTCTTCTTCATGATTATCTTTTCATAATTATTATCATTTCATTTATATTTGTAGACATTAATTCATATTCAAAAAATACTCCGCACACAACAGGAATGTGTTTTCTGGTCTTGGCTTTTTCAGATGCATCTCACTTGTATATTGGGTGGATGGAAACTCTATAATATATTTATATGAATCGATTATAACGTCTTGTAACGGTTCTGAAAATTTAAGTATAATTTTAAAAAAAATTTACTCTTATTACGGTCTTTCAGAACTACTTTGTACATCGGTGTACTGCGTTTCATTATCCTTTTCCAAGCGCATAAATATTGGTTAAAAGTAGGCAATTATCCTCTTACAAGCGCAATTTTTGAAAGCTAATTAATGGTGCATTTCAAAGCCATTGCTTGCTGAAATCTTGCTCTGCTTTGACTGTATTTGCTCTGAGTGGGAGTAAAGTGATATAGGCAGGTAATACTGTTCCATTAGTTGTTTTTTTAAGTTTTTGCTTCTACTTGTTGATAAATTTCTCCATTGTATAGTTGCCAATATTATGAAAATTGTTGCACATTATTTATTAAATCGATTAAGACGGCATTTAATTATACATTATATGTATGGTATGCATTGTCGGGTTACATTAATTCTCATTTTTCATTTCTATATAGTGCGAGCTTCGTAACATTTACACTTCGAATAACCGTAAATAAATGTGTGTATGTAATATGTTGATGCAGTGATGATTACTAAGTTCATAAGAATTCATGTTTTTTTTAACAATTGCCTGTAATTTCATATATAAAAACTCCAGCAAAACTATCAAACTATTAAAATATGTTAGGTGAAGCAATGGTAATCAACATTTCCACAGACTGAATTCGACTAATGTCAATATTGCATTCTATGTGTATGTCAGGTTAAATCTGGGCACTAAATAACGTAGACTTGAGACAATTTGGTGTTCACATCTAATTTTAGCCATATTTAAAATTTGAAGCTAAATGTTGAGTTATAATACGGAAGTAAACATCGAAAAAGCATATCTGTCGTGACTTACTCACGAATGACGTTCAGACCCGCTCATTTCTTTGAGTGCATGATGAACGTTCGTGACTCGTTTGGAACCAGTTTAGTCGACGTCTAGTTCAGAATAACTTCACATTTGTTTGTTTATTTTTTACATAACGGCATTTTGAGAAATATAGTAACATATCTAAAACTTATATTATCTCTTATCATATACTCATATTTAATCGAGCATTAACTTACCGACCAGAATGATATATTGTGATATTTTGTGGTAGTATTTGGCATCCAGCATCGCCTCAACCGAAGCTTGTCGTTGCATTTCATCGATCATCACCGCATTGTTGGCTAGTGACGGCCAAGGAGTAGAAGTCCGTAAAGTCTGTGGCAAGAGCTTCTGAAGCCTATATAGTAAGTATGCAGAACTCATTATTTCGAATAAAATCGATGTGTGATTATTTTCGCGAGTCCAGGAAAAATTGTACACACTGTAGTCCCTACCATCACTGACACTGATAGATAACATCAACAATTACCGTTTATCAGTTGCCGATCTCTACCTGTGATTTTATTACTGTACGGTGAAAGTGCTACCAAGGTTGCTGATAAATTGATAATGGGATGCAAACAAGCAATGCATTGATAGTATATTACTTGTTTCTTAAACCATAAAAAATAATTTCTGTAATTTTCTTCTCTACGTTCCAATGAACCACTAAATCTCCAATGGATAATCTTGTACATTTTCACTGATAAGTACAATATGTAGCAAGCAGCCGAGTGATGAACGAACACCAAATGAATTCTACGGCGCCGATAGTCAACGCTGTACAGTGCAGTAGTGCTGCTCGGAAGATAAAAAATACTTTATAGTAAAGTTAATCGTAGTTAATCAATCGTAAAGTTAATCAATCGTAATTGATGATGATTCATCTCTTTTCAGACAGTTATTTTTATATTTCGTATGATAATTTCCTTATGGGCTGAAGAAATCGTTCTGAGAAGTTTTTATTGTACAAAATTACAACCTCTATGCTGCTCAGAAACTATTTTCACGAATGTGGTCATGAAATTACATGAAATTTTGTCCAGATTCCTTATTTTTATTCAAAACAGTACGCAGAAATATTGAAAAAGCATTATTTCATTATCAAGTTATAAAAAACATTAATTAAGAATATGTCATCTTTTAAATATTCAAATTCGTCAGAAGTGAGAAATGTAGAGCGTTCGTAAACACATGCTTCATGATGGCAATATTTTCGAATTTTCCTGACTCAGTCAAATCCATTCATCCCCTTGTTTTTACTTCAAAATTTCATTAGCATTTCAGAAGAGGTTTTGAAGAATTTCTATGGAATCTCTGACTTTCAGACGATGTCAGACGTCCAGACACCGGCGATAGGCATCGACCTGGGCACCACCAACTCGTGCGTGGCTGTTGTTCTCAATGGGCGTGTTGAGGTCATCGCAAACGAAATGGGAAAACGGATCACCCCATCGTGCGTCGCATTCACAGAAGAAGAGCGCCTCATCGGTCATGCTGCAAAATACCAGGCAATTTTCAATTCCAAAAACACAATATTTGATGCTAAACGACTCATGGGCATGAAATATCATGACGAAAATATTCAGAATCGTATTCGACTTTGGCCGTTCAATGTTGTCGAATCTTCTGGACATCCGAGATTTCGCGTTCAATACAAGAATGAAATGAAAGATTTTTCCCCAGAAGAGATCTCAGCAATGATTCTGCAAAAAATGAAAGCCATTGCCGAAACATACATCGGTTCTCCAGTCAAAGACGCCGTAGTTACAGTGCCTGCCTACTTCAACGACTCCCAGCGTCAAGCGACCATGGATGCGGGTAAGATTGCTGGTTTGAACATTGTGTCTCTTCTCAACGAGCCCTCAGCTGCCGCCATCGCATACGGCTTCAATCAAAAGAAAGGCATGAGGCAGAACGTTTTAGTATTCGATTTCGGCGGCGGCACTTTCGATGTAGCCATACTCAGTATCACAGAAAATGACTTTGAAGTCATAGCTACAAGTGGAGACACCTCTCTCGGGGGCAGCGACATCGATGAACGTCTAGTTGTGCATTTCATTGAAGAAATCAAGAAAAAACACAATAAAGACATTTCAGACAAGGAAATTAAGGTAAAGAATGAAGAGGATAGCTCAAAAATTTTAACAAAACTCAGGAATGCCTGTGAACGTGCAAAGAGAAATCTTTCCTCTTCGACACAATCAGAAGTACTTTCAGAAAGCCTATTTGATGGAATTGATTTCCGGGCGAACCTCAGTCAAACTCGATTGACTAAACTATGCTCTGATCTCTTCACAAAAACCATAAATATTGTTGAAGCAGTATTGGAATCCTCGAAAATGGGAGTAGATGATATCGACGAAATAGTTCTAGCTGGCGGTTCCACACGAATTCCCAAAATTCAAGAGCTCCTGCAAGGAAAGTTCAATAACAAGAAGCTTAACCACAAAATCCACCCTGATGAAGCTGTGGCTTACGGAGCAGCCGTTTATGCCGCCTCCATATCAAGTGACAAAACAATTGAGAACATCAAGTTCGTAGATGTCGCTCCACTGACACTTGGGATAAATGTTCTTGGAAACTTGATGAGCCCAATTATCCCTCGCAATACCAAACTTCCTGCGACTGTGATGAAGAAGTATGTCACCACGGTCGATTATCAGTCAGGAGTTGATATCAAAGTGTACGAAGGAGAACGACTCAGTAGTGACGAGAACAACTTGCTGGGTGAGTTCTCTCTCGAAAATATCCAACCAGCTAAAAAAGGCATCCCACAAATAGAGGTATCTTTCGTTGTCGACATGAATGGAATTTTGACTGTGACGGCTGAGGACACAGCCACTGGCAGAAACGAAGAGATCGTTATCCGCTGCAACAAAGGCCGACTGCCGAAGCATGAAGTCGAGCGAATGATCACCGAAGCAAAAGAATTTCAGAAAGAAGACGACAAGAAAGAGAAGCTTAGAGCTGCTCGCCATGAACTTGAGACCCTCTGTGTTGAAGTAAAGGATTTGATTAGCGAGCAGAGAGACGACGATCTTGAGAATTTGGAGTTAGACAATTTCTGGGGCGTCTACACTGATACTGAGGAGTGGCTGGACGAGGCCGAACAGGCAACGGAAGAAGAGTACCGTTCCCGTTATGATGCTCTAGTTGAAGTCAAAGAGCGGATGGTTAGTAACTAGGTTTCTCCGATGTTTCGAGCTTTTGCGGCGCATGCTGGGGGATAGCATTCTCCAACTTCACACTTTATAGTTTATATCCTTTCCGTATGTAAGCACGCTAGAGGATATACATATATAGCCGCCTATGTAATGAAGTGCTTAAACCCATAGGGCCGTATACTCACAGCATCGCTTAAGCATGCTAAGTTAAGCATGTTCATACTGCATCTGGCCTCATGGTTGAATTACATAAGGTTGACCCACGAGGATTTCCGTCTTTCAGTTCAGCTTTCTTGTTACGTCACGTAGATCGAGAAACGTAAACAATCCCGTCATTCTCATGACGGATTGGTTAACCGGTTTGATCGCATTTCGGTGATTGGTTAATGCCCGTGACGTCACTGAGATCAGTGACGTCACAAACGAAAAACACTACATCCGCAAAAATGAGCTTTTCATTTCAACCTTATACTAAATAGTTCAACCATGCATGGTCTGGCCTAACCTACTCCGGTCTAACCTAATCGCGTTGCAACGTTCCATCGCCCAAAAGCTGACCTAACCAAACCCCATTGGTTTGGCTCTGATGCTGAGTGGTGACGCTTGGCGTTAACTCCAAGGATTATTTACGATTTAAATTTGTGGCTTACGGCTGCGCCGCCCCCTAGTTTTTTCATACCTCTTATATTTGCGTGGAAAAAATTTCGCAGTCGTGGCATTTTTTGTTATATTTAGTTCGATACCTTGAGCTCAAACTTAATTATTTTTAAACGGAAACCAGAATGAAAGACTTTTCGTTTCATACGCAGTACGTCGTTAATCAAAATTTATTATACAAGTTTTAATTAGTAAAATATTTAATGATGGCCCGCTAATTATTTCGCAGTCAGTGGGATGCGTATAATGACGTGTGGGATGCGTATAATGACGTGTGGGATGCGTATAATGTCGAGTGGGATGCGTATAATGTCGAGTGGGATGCGTATAGTAACGTGTGAGATGCGTATAATGATACGCTCATCGCATGATCATATATCCACCATTATAATATGCAATTGACGCGTATTACATATATACTTTTTTTCAGGCGTTAATTCATTCACTTTTCATTCCTTTCGCTTGTAGAGTTCTTATCTACGATGACTGCCGACAGGACTGAGCTTTTCTACAATATTTTGGAACTTACCGAAACGTATTCAAATTTGGGGTTAGATAATTTACAAGTACGTCGAATAAACGATAAGTTATTTCACTTCCCAGTTACTCTTCACATGAATCAGTTAACGTCATGCTATTAATTTCATTATATAGGCTAACGCAGTCATCGTGCTGCCATAAGGTGATAAATCAAAGAAATGCTCCTGTCAATATTTTTGGTTTAACTGCGGCTGATTTCACGACCTTGTCCCTCAAGGTCAAAGTTAATTGGAATCAAAAGTGTCTCTGACCCTTGCTTAGCTCATTAAAACAGGTTTACATATTGTCAGAATATTAGCGTTATAGTTGTCAGAATATTAGCGTTATAGTTGTCAGAATATTAGCGTTATAGTTGTCAGAATATTAGCGTTACAGTTGTCAGAATATTAGCGTTATAGTTGTCAGAATATTAGCGTTATAGTTGTCAGAATATTAGCGTTATAGTTGTCAGAATATTAGCGTTATAGTTGTCAGAATATTAGCATTATAGTAGTCAAGATATTAGCGTTACAGTTGTCAGAATATTAGCTTATAGTTGTCAGTATATTAGCATTATATTGCCAAAATATTAGCGTTATAGTTGTCAGAATATTAACATCATAGTTGTCAGAATATTAGCGTTATAGTTGTCAGAATGTTAGCGTTACAGTTGTCAAAATAATAGCGTTACAGTTGTCAGAATATTAGCGTTATAGTTGTTAGAATATTAGCGTTATAGTGTCAGAATATTAGAATTATAGTTGTCAGAATATTAGCGTTACAGTTATCAGAATATTAGCATTATAGTTGTCAGAATATTAGCATTATAGTTGTCAGAATATTAGCATTATAGTTGTCAGAATATTAGCGTTATAGTTGTAAGAATATGAGCTTTATAGTTGTCAGAATATTTGCGTTACAGTTGTCCAAATATTATCGTTACAGTTGTCAGAATATCAGCGTTACAGTTGCCAAAATATTGGCGTTATAGTTGTTAGAATATTAGCGTTATAGCTGTCAGAATATTAGCGTTATAGGTGTAAGAATATTAGTGTTACAGTTGTCAAAATAATAGCGTTACAGTTGTCAGAATATTAGCGTTACAGTTGCCAAAATATTAGCGTTATAGTTGTCAGAATATTAGCATTATAGTTAGTAACATTCTATGTCGACAAGAATGGAATTTTGACTGTGACAGCTGAGGACGCAGCCACTGGCAGCAACGAAGAGATCGTCATCCACTGCAACAAAGGCCGACTGCCGAAGAAAGAAGTTGAGCGAATGATCATTGAAGCAAAAGAACTCGAGAAATGTGACAAAAATATGAAAAAACTCCGAGCTTCTCGACACGAACTTGAGATCCTCTGTATTGAACTAAAGGACTTAATTAGCGAGCAGAGAAACAACAATCTTCTGGAAAAAGAAGATTTCGTCAGCTTCTTGGGTGTCTGCAGGGAAACTGAGGAGTGGCTGGACGAAAACGAACAGGCTGCAGAGGAAGAATATCGGTCCCGTCATAGCGCTCTTCTTAAAATCAAGGAGCGCGTGCTTTAGTTACTAACTTACTAGGTTTCTTCACTGTGACGAGGGTCATACTCCTCTGTTTTTTTAATTGCGTGCACACGATAAATTTAACAGTTTTCAAATCCTCCGCAATGTATTGTGCTTTAATGGTCCAAATTGAGCCTTTATTATTAAAACTGTCTGGATTGCAATACTTTTTCATGGACCGATCCATATAGAATAGATAGATTATGTTTGTTGACAGTTTGACACAGGCTTGATATTATTTGGAATTCATTTTATTTTATTTCTATTCCTATTTTAAACGAATAAGGAATGTCCCGTTAATTTATAATATTTTCACTTACGATGTAATAAGATATGGCACAATATTCTCAGAAGCCAGAGACTGTAATTACAGGACACCGAACTCGGTCAGAGAACACCTGGTCGACAACTCGGTCAGAGAAATAATGCTTTAAGGTCAGATTAAGGGAAATTATTAAATACTCGGATGAACTCAATTGTTACTCAACTTGCATCGTTATCAAACCAGTACTATATGCTACAAGTTCACTTATTTCCCTTTCAACAAGCCCAGGCGTTTTGCCGCAGTGTAAGGCCAAATAGAACTGTCGATGTTACGATGCTACCCAAATCATCAGTTTAGTTCTTAATAATGGTGAGCAAAAATTTTACGTTCCTGCTTTCATTTTGTTGTTTATCTGATCATTTGAAAGTCGAAACAGAAATTTTATAGCATTAAAATTACTTCGATGATAACTGTTCTGACTTTGCTGTCTTGAACTCCTATGTTAAGAACAGCATTTGCATGTGTCTAAGCCAAATGCTGTGCCTCGCACCTGATTGCTTTACCATATAAATTATTGTTAAGTTTTCTTATCGTAATTTTGACGCTTATTTCAATCATAATATAACTTGTAAGCATAATCACATTTTTTATTTTGAAAGCTTATTTAACCATAATATATTTATTAGCATTTTTTTTGTAGCAGGAAATTGTGTGAAAATCTCCTGTCAATTGAATGACATGCACCTTCTTTCTGTGCCGCCGTAAATAAAGAGTAACAACATCAGATAATGATTTCTATCTCTCTAGTTTAACCCCATCCTGTTCAACAGATTTTAGATTTAAGAATGTTTAATTTTACGATACTACAAATTTAATGTGTCTCTGCTTGATCGGAATCGGTGGTAATGGGAAATCCACGCACGACGGCAGGCGTCTCATTTATTGGCATTTGCCACCTGCCACGCTTTACTCGTTGAGGCAATGGGAGATGATGAGTGCTACTGTATTAATTTATTACGATGTACCGACTTATTCAGCTGTATTAATTTATTACGATGTACCGACTTATTCAGCTGTATTAATTTATTACGATGTACCGCCTTATTCAGCTGTATTAATTTGTGACGATGTACCGACTTATTCAGCTGTATTAGTTTATTACGATGTAGTGATTTATTCAGCTGTATTAATATATTCTAATGTCTTGATTTATTATTACAGGTTACTATTGCTATTAATTCACTATTGAAACATTTAATTATTAAGATACAATAAATTCCGATACGGTTCAGTCATCTGTAAGAATCATTTGTTAATATTTATTTTTCGTAAAGTTTCTTAGTTTCTTTTCGTGTTTAGATTGTAATATTTTGTGATTTATGCATCGAGTGATGGTCACAACTTCTGAATATAGTTGTTTCTCTGTAAGGTCACTATTACGTAATACGTATAGTATTCGTTTTACGAAGGATTTAAATACGCGATTTTTGTTCCGTTTTCTTTATAAAATCAATTTCTGAAAGATAAATAACATACAAAGGCAGAAAATGGTAACATAAAGTTTGTATTGCACATAAGGTATGACCGAGCAGGAAAATCATTTATTTCGAACATATAACGCGATAAAAATCAAGTATACATGGCCACACGGGTCTTCAGAATTAAAATACACGTACCAAACATTCCCTTCTCTTCTCCCTACAGCAAACACCGAAACTGAAACGCTAGTTGCTTATTAAACAAAACACAAGTACAGTGTCTGTGACACGCATGCTTCAGGCGAACGAAATATACAAGAAAAGTGCATTTAAGAACCAGAAATTTAACAGTAGCTATTTGCCATCTTAAGGTTGCCCAAGATAACCATTATATTTGTGAATTAATCGTTCTGATGTTTTTTGGGCCTGTAAAAGAGACCATTATTAAAGTCACTTGATTAAAACTGTCAAAAGTAGTTTTTACCCTATTGAATATTGATGTTTATTAGCGTTAGATGTTCTTGTTTATTACTTGCTGCCGTTGCTTATAGTGTTTCAAATAAGCCCTACATCAAAAGCTAACTGAGTAAAATAAAAATGATTTCAACTGTACGTTTCTTCTCATGCCCGTCAGGGTCATGACATAAGTAGAATAGAATAGAATAGAAGTGTCGGCGCTGAAGAAATAGGCCCATGGCCTGTTGCCGATTCTTGAATTTTTCGTGACTTGAATCACAAGGGATCCGGCCTTTGGAACCCGATCTTTCCATAGCTGACGATTGATTGAGATAGCTGCTGGACTTATTGCCTGGTCCGTAATTTGCTAGGCATTTTAAGACTGAACATATGCTGTCTCTTATACACATCTAGATGTNAGCTATTTTGACTCCAAGTTTTGTCAAAATTAACGTATATGAATGTTAAATAAAGCAACACCTCGAAATAAATTAAATTTATTGCAATGCAGGTTTTATTGAAAGGAACAAGTTAGTCGACGACTCTTAATTGGCCGTTATTTGTGTGTTTTGCACGCCTGTATCTCGATGATATTTCGGCAGTTTCATAATAAAGTCGTAACTTTTACTTAAAATTCTGATCTCCTATTGCCAATAAATGGGTAAAATTCAGAAACTCATATCTTTCTTGAACGTTGCAACCAACTGTTTGATGTCTTGCCTATCGAATGACAGTCTCATTGAAAGATACGCAAATCGATTTACCGGTTCTTGTGACGAAAAATTCGCTGTAAATTGCTTCATGAATCTAAAGCAGAGGTCCTCAATCTTTTCTCGCCTGAGGTGAAAAATGCTTCATAGTCAAAACTCGTCACTAACTAAAACAATGAGTGTTTGAACTCATTGTTTTAGTTTCTGGCTCAATCTATTACTATTGATCCGACAATCCGTAGTTTAATTATTCACATGGCCAAAACGCATACAAACGTGGGACGAGAGAACACAATCCGAGGCGGAGATTTGCATTCCGCATCTCAAGTTAATCGATTTGTTTTTTACTGTGCATAAAAGTATGGATTTCTCTCGGGCTGCATTGCGCCGTAGTCGTGATTTCTGTCTAGAAGAAACGTGAGTGAAATGTCAATGGACGTCAGTAACTTGAGCGCCCCGTCTTCTTGTCTACTCTTGGATATTGGACTCGCCTCTCATCGAGCCACTCGATGGACAAAGCGAGGGGAGACTTCCCTATTCCAGAAAATAGAGCAATTCTTAACCGTCGCTGTGAACATACGTAACGGGAGGATCAAAAGAATTGTTTAGATATTAGAAGAATCATTCATCGAGTCTACTATTTCCTTCATTTCTTTGTCCCGTTTTATTATCTTAGTAGCTTGAATGAAGAAAAATTTCTTCTCCGAAACAATAACGGCCTCCGAGCAAAGGTTTTCCAAATATGTATTTAACGCATAAAATGACCATCAGTAAGATAATAACAAATTGAGGACAACTAACCAATGACTGTTCGAAATTTCTGGGCCAACCACAGCCGTTTGTGGCTGATGCGACATCGGCACCCAGAGAAATTAATGAGACTTTGTCCCAATAGCGCTGAACTTCTGCCTTCATGTGGTTATCTTGAACCAGTTTGGCCAGAAAAAAGGACGTATCAGTGCTACACACAGCAAATATTTCACTATTTGGACAATATGAGCCATATCTTTTTCCGAGTGCGCAGTCATCACGGCGATTTGAAAGAATCCTGGCCGACAGAGAACACGGCCAATTTCTTAAAGCCCGAGTTCTTGGTTATATCGTCCGTTAGTCGAATTTATCGCCCATATTTGGGACGATGTATGCGTCCCAAATGGGGCATACGAGTCCATGTACTCGCATAATACGAGGTACAGGAAGACTGACGTCTTTATTTTTTGTCTATAACGTTAAAATTTGAAAAATTTAAAATTAAAATATATTCGTGGATATATTTTATATGAATATTGAATATTTATATTCAATGAATGTTCAATGCCCGTGAATATTCGAATAAACTCTGTGGTTGTCGTAGGCTTTTTCAAGTGCCTTCTGAAATGCCCAACGACGTAGAGAAAATTTTTATTTATTAATCTCATAACTTCTTAATCAGGAAGATATTGCAATCCATGTTTCTCTTGCTTCAGAATGCAAATAAATCAACACGATTAATTTATTATTCAAACGTCAAGCATTTTAAAAACAGGATCATGCTGTCGGATAATATGACGAATTGGCGCAAAATTTGCTCGGTGTAAAATGGAACATTATCATTAGTATTAAAGAAATTTTTAAGCAAACTATCATATTTTTCTTAGTTATATTTCATAACCCATATTTTAATATTGGTTAAAACGTTTCTTTTGACAGTGATGTCAGGAGAACAATCGGGTCCGAAGATGTCAAATCCCGAATAATCGAAAAATGTCTAGCCAATAGGCAATTCAGAAACAATCAGAACAGCTAATGTGACGACACTGAATGTTCACGGTTTTATTTTGGCTTACTTTTTGTTGCTATGTGACCATTTATCCGTTAATTATTTTAATTGAAACACTATAGAAGCTCGAACAATAATAAAGGCTTCCAATTAAGCAGGCCTTTAGCATCCAATTATGTTTTTTAATTGCGAGCAAAATCCTCAATAAAATTTTATAAGTTTCGCTCAAACCACACATTTAGCTTTTATTGTTCCGGCTTCTATGGTATTTAAAATTAAAATAATTAACGAATTTCCGTTAGGTGTCAGAACACTTTCTGGGAGATTACTTTACT